ACATTGGTAATTCAAATGGGATGCTGTTTCTTATATAGGGTTGTAGAGTTCCTGAAGCTCTCTGATGAGAATAAAAGAGAATAGGCTTTGTTTCATTGCAGAAGGGTGAAAAATCTGCAGATTTAAGAAAATTATTTTGGACTTGAGATTTGGAGATGCGCTTGGCATAGGATAGTTGTGATTAAGAGGACATACTCTGAAACCAGTCTGCCGGGATTGAATCCTAGCTCTGCCCCTTCAAGCGGAGTGACTTCGGGCTTGTTAGCCTTTTTGAGCCTCCAATTTCTCAACTGTAAAATGGGTGTAACAATAGTACCTATTTTAAGAAGTGTGTTTTTGGGGTGCCTGGGTGGCTCAGTTAGTTAAATAGCAGACTCTTGACTTCAAATCAGGTCATGATCCTAGGGTCCTGGGATTGAGTCCTGAGTAGGGCTCTCTGCTCAGCAGGGAGTCTCCTTCTCCCTCTCCTGCCCTTTCCCCTGCTTGTGCTATTTCTATCTCTCTCTCTCTCTCAAATAAATAAACCTTGGGGTAAAAAAAAAAAGTGTGTTTTTGGAAGAGTAACTGAATTAAGATAAGATCTAAAGCCCTTAGAACAGCGTCTGGCGCTACTAAGTGTTATTTAAGCATGTGATAGTAGTGATTACTCTAACAGTGGTAGCAGATGCAGTAGTACTTCTTGGAGTTCTTCTTACTGTCTGCTTATCTCCAATCTCAAGTACCACTGTTTCTTTTGGCTAAGATACTTTATATTAAAACCCAGCAAAGGCAAATTAAAAGTACTTCTTTTAGCTCTGTTTGGACATGATTATTGTAGCTCATTTATGATGGAATTATACAAAAAAATAAGTTCCCAAGGTACGTGTCAGATGAGTCAGTTAGATGAGTCTCACTCATGTCCTTTTAATCTCTGGGGTAGATTTTCTCCCAGGTGCCTGGGAGTGAACCTTTGTTGTAAAGGTCACAATATAATTCAACAAATATTGAACATCCATTGTGAACTGGTTATAGGAACTTCTCATAACATCTTAGATAGGAAGTTATTCCATTTATCGAGAAGTTATCCAGATAGGCTGTAAAATATTTTACTCCTCTGTGGTTAAAAATGTTGAATAAAACAGCAAAGTACAGACCCATATGACATAGTAATCAGGTTTCTCCTTATACCAGTCAGTTTTGTTGAATAAGGTGGTTCAGCCACATGCTAACCTCCTTCATTGTGTTGTCCTCTAACACTCATTTGTTCAACTTGTTCACAAAGACACTAGAGAGCCTTCACTAAATCTGAAGATGGTATTTACACAGATCTACTCGTCTAATACCTCCAAAATAGGGTATGTGATGATTATTGTGTTTAGGAATCCATAGAAGTGTCAGATATTCATGGATTCTTTTTCTAAGGTATGACAAAACCTATGTGCATTAAGCTATTCTACATTTTTTAAAAAGATCTGCAATTGACTCCACACTTAGTTTCTTGAGTCCTCTTTCTCTTTTTGAACATAGAATATTTAGCCACTTACAGTCTTTTTGTACCTTTGCCATTTTCTATTTTTTTTCTCAAATTTGTCAGCAGTGGTTCCATAATTACAACCACAGGTTCTCTTTCAGGGAGGTGATTCATTTAGCTTACGGGGTTGAACTCATTTAAGGCAGCCAGTTTTACATCTGTTTTACATCTTTTTAAAAATTGTGTTTATTTATTTGAGAGAGAAAGCACAAGTGGGAGGGGCAGAGAGAGAGAGAATCTGAAGCAGACTCTGTGCAGAGTGGGGAGCCCAATGCAGGGCTTGATCTCATGATCCTGAGATCACAACATGAGCCAAAACCAAGAGTCGGCAGCTTAACCAGCTGTGCCACCTGGGAGCCCCTCACCTGTTTTACATTTTGATCAATCTTTACAACATTACTTTTTATCTTTCTGGTCCAAAAATCATTCTCTGGGGGGGTGGGAAATGGAAGTAAAAATAGATATTGGATAGTTCTATGTTCTCCCTGTCCATTTTTGGTGTATTATTTCAGCCAAGCTGTGACCCTAACCTTTCACTGGTTTTACTCTAGAGTTTAGATGTGGGTGCGGGGCTGGGGGGGGGGTTGTTGCGGGGGTGTATTATTGCCATCCAGAGAGGGTTTTTTGTTTTGTTTTAATTCTTATCAGAGAGCTAATTTTGATTTGGAAAGTATATTTTTCTAGGGGTGCCTTTAGTAACTGTTGGTTTGTGTAAACAATCCTACTCATGATGGTCTCTTCCTTTGTTTTGTTTCTTTGTTGTCAGTTATTAATTCTTCTTGATTTTATATTTCGTATCCTATAAATCAGTGGCCTGGTGTGTATATTCTGCACATAGGAAGTTGAGCTTCGGGAAAACTGTTTTTCTTCCCTTTTTAACCTGACAACGCTTTGCTCTCCAATTAACATTCATTTCTGCTTTTGCGTTTCCTGTAGCTCACACTCATGCTAAATTCCCAGTTTCAGCAGCAGATGTCTCCCATGAGCTGCTTTTAGGCTTTGCTAAGTTTTTTTTTTGTTTTTTGTTTTTTGTTTTACTACCTAGGGTAGTCAGATCCAGCTAATGAGTGGTTCTATGTGCTTGTGATTTCTAAGGGACCATTCTGAGTTTTGTTTTCATAATATGACTCTTTATAAGTAGAGAAACTGGAAAAGACTTTAAAGATGATTTTGTGTGAAAGTTGCTTTATAGATGAAGAAAATTAAATGTAATCAACTTGTCTAAGGAATTGTGGTTGAAACCAGATTCTCAAAATTTTAGATTAGTGCCATTTCCCTAGAGTGAGAATTTTTAAAGGTGAAAGAAACTTAGAAATATTTTTTTTAAAAAAAGGAAATTGAGGGGCGCCTGGGTGGCTCAGTTGGTTAAGCGACTGCCTTCGGCTCAGGTCGTGATCCCGGAGTCCTGGGATCGAGTCCCACGTCGGGCTCCCGGCTCGGCGGAGAGCCTGCTTCTCCCTCCGACCCTCTCCCCTCTCATGCTGTTTCTCTCTCTCTCTCTCTCTCTCTCAAGTAAATAAATAAATAAAATCTTTAAAAAAAAAAAAAAAAAAAAGGAAATTGAATTCCAAAATAGTTAATAAAATTTCTCACTGTCATAGAACTAAATGGTAGAACTGAAATTCAAAACAGATCTCATTATAGACCAATGCTTTCTACAACATGCCTTTCCATCAAAGTACTATTTTCCTAAGTGACTCTCATAGAACATTTTTATTCTCAAATTTCCTCATTACCTTTAATATTTGGAAAGTTTCTGTTCTGTCTCTTAAGAATAGTAAATGTTTTCTGATGCACCATCATTTGCTTTCTTAGAATGTGCTCCATTTTATCATTTCTTCCCTTTTAGATGTTACATACTACTTTTAAAATAACTGCAGACATTTGACTTTCTTGAACCATATTTTAAGAATTTATTTCTTCTTAATTATTTTAATCTTCTTTTTAAGTGTACTTACTGGACATGAATACTGAAAACATGTGGGTAAACATGTATTTGTACTTCAACATAGATGAAATTGTCTTGTGGGAAACTAAAAATTCTCAATGTGTATTATCTCCTTTACTCTCAGGTAGTCCAGGGAGTTACAGTATTTTCATTGTTTCTTTCTCCTGATATTTGTGTGTTATTTGTTCATAATATATATGATAAATATTGAGATTAAGTTAAAAAACATTTCTACCAAGGTGAAATGATTCTAGTACATTTTTTGTGTAATAAATAGGTGATTGTTAGGACCATTGTTAATCTGTCCAGTAGGCAGATTTTATTATAACTATAGTTATAACTGTTATAACTCTTTGTACAGTACTGTGCTTGGCATTGACTGAAACTCAGTTGGAACTGAACATACTTTGAACTATTTTAACTTGACATTGGAAAGGAAAGGGAAGAAAGAAGTTAAAAGAAGCATTGGTCTTTACATACTTGTTGAGATTAAGTTGCTATAATGATCTGATACAGACTTTTTTTAAAGATTTTATTTATTTATTTATTTATTTATTTATTTATTTATTTATTTATTTATTTATTTATTTTAGAAAGAGTATGGGAGCACAAGCAGGGGGAGGGGCAGAGGGAAAAGAAGATAGAATCTCAAGCAGACTCCATGTTGAGTGTAGAGCCCAATGTGGGGCTTGATCTCATGATCCTGAGATCACAACCTGAGCCAAAATCAAGAGTCAGACTCTTAACCAACTGAGCCACCTACGTGCCCCTGATATAGACCTTTCTTAAAATTAGACAATCCTGGTCCTCTTTGCTATAACTTAAGGTGTTACAATATAAAACTGGCTATTTCTCAGTGTAAACATTAATATGCTTTCAGATATGGATGGATCTTGCAAGATATGAGGGAGATTCCTGGCGCAGACATTTTTTAAGACCATAAAGAAATGGGTTCCTTGAATATAAAAATGTTGTACCATCATAGATCCTTAGAATTTGAAGGAACCCCAGCAGTTAGTTACCACCAAATGCATGTAAAGATGTTTACAGTATCTCCACTCACAATTTTGTATCAATTCAGTACATACTGTCTGTATTCTGCCTCATTGTCTTTGTGTTTATGTTCTTGATGCTATAACTTCCTTTAATTTTGTCTTTTTCACTCTTTTTCTATACCTTTGTTTTCCCCCTTCATTAATTAACAATAAATATGAAAGCAAATGAAAGGTTTTTTTTTTTAATTATTTTTCTAAAGAGATACAGTCTACTCTTTCTCTTTGAACTTAAAACTGTAGTCTTTTTGTTGCCATTGGTGTGGTTAACTTCTGAGATTTGCTTTAAAATTATAGATTTCTTTAAAGTATTCTGAAATAGAAGAATCAGTTGTATATCAAAGTGGTAAGAGTTTGTACTATTTGTACTTTTTCAAAAATAGTTTATATTGGAATTGTATTTCATTTTCTAGAAGTATTAGAATATTTCTCATTAACTAGAGAAAGATCTCTCAGCTGACTATAAGCAAAGAATTTTTTTCCCTAGGAATTGACGCTGACTAGTTTAAGGGTCATATAGTTAATTTTGTAGGTATGTGTATGTTTAAGCACATACACCAATTTGGAGGCAGTATAGAGCATGTGAGAAGGTAGTCTGTTTACTCTAGTTTGTCTCGGGGTAGAGTTTGGTAGTGTGCGTGCCATCTCTAGTATTTAGACTTCTGAAACAATTATATATGCCTTCAGATATATAAGATGCGGTTTGGAATACTATTAAAGTGACATCAGAAAACTTAATCTTATGTGACTTGGCAAGAATATAAATCTTAATAAAAGTCAAACCCATCATATTAGAGACTAGAACCAAAATGGATAATTTTTTTTTTCATGAGCGTAAATTATTTTGCCTATCTGAACTGGGCCACCCTTCATGCTGCTGAAAAATCTTAGACTGGTGGGGGAAAGTGCCTAAAGCTTTGAGATTTAGGGATTAAATTTGTGGGTTATACTCTTTCTGGCAGGTGACATAGAGTCCATAAGGTCTATGTTCTAACTATGTTCTAGGAAAGGATTCTGCCATTTGGAGAATACATACCTGGTTCACTTATGCTGAGCTCCATAGCCAACACATTTCTTGAAATAATTTTCTTAAACTTAATCACCTGGAGAGGGACAGCACTAGAGCAATAGGTGAAGACATAAGAATGGGTCAGCCTGAAAAGGAAAAGCTAAGATATGGGCTGTCTTCACTGCAGACCCCCTCAGCCTAAATTTGTTCACCATTTATGGCAGTAGCATAACAATAAAATATCAGATGTAAATAGAATTGGCTACCAATACAGACTGCCCGCATGTACTCAGCCTCATAAGAACCCTATGTAGATGAGAAAACTGAGGGTCAGAGAAATTAAGTATCTTTCATAAATGTAGTCAGTTAGCTGGTGAACACAGTTTGGATTTAGTCCCAGATCTAGCAGTGCAAAGTGAAATAAGGAAAGGATGAATAAAAAATGTTGTGCCAGAAGTTCAATCAAGTTTTTGGGTCATTATGGGGTCATTAAAGTTTAGGTTCCTGGATCGAGATCCTGTGGCTCCAGTTTGCACTTGTTCTTTAAGGAACAAAATTAATTTCAGGTACCCAGGAGTGATTTCATTTGCTTCCTCTCCTTTTCTAAGTTAGACCCACATCTGATGAGTAGATACCTGGTATCAGCCATTTAACAAACAGCTCTGGTTCCGAGATCCTATTACTTTGTGTGATATCCAACTACTATCCTCCCTACCCCTTCCATCAAGACAAGTTTCTTGATCAAAGCAAAATCTTGACTACATTTAACTGAGCCAGATTGTAATGATAGTCTTAGCTTACCTCCAGATGCGATCATTTTATGCACTTACTTTTAGTCTTCTGTTCCTGTTACTGTTGTTCTGTGTTATGCCTTATGTTTTTAAGGCTTTGAAGAACTTAAGGCTTTTTTGTCTTGTTTTATTTCATTCTTAGCACAGCTTTGCATACAGTTAGGAACTAAACAAATTCTTACAATGACTCTTTATTTTTAAGACTGAAACTTATTGATTTACTTAATTTTATTTCATTTGAATACCTTAACATTTAGACAGACTGCTGGATTATTTTTGTTTGCAGCTGTACAAAATGATTTTTTTCATGGAGTAGTTTTGTCCAAATAAAGAAAATTATATAATCTTAATAGATAGCTCCTATTTTAAAGAGATGATTTGATACATGACATAAAGTTCTTCTTTATATAATTCTTGGTACATTTATATCTGCTTAATTACCTTACTCATCGTTATATTATTTAGATGAAAACTGACATTCCTTCTATACATAACTGACTTGCTCTTCAGTTTTGTCACCTTCATTTTCTGTGAGGAGAAGTGTATCTAGTAGAATGATTGAGGAAGCCTGAATGTTTGAACTGCGGAGCCTCATTGGGCTCTGGTACATGGCAGGATTAATCCCATTTCGCATTCCATGTTTCATGAAAAACTTAGAGTTCTCTGCCATTGGATTTCGGAAGTAGATATTGCTGGAGCATTTTCTGATAGTTTTCACTGATTTTGTGGCCTGGTAATTGCAGGTGATGTATCGGCCAAATGCATTCCGAAATGTCTTATTGAAGAGGGTGTAGACCAAAGGATTCACCCCTGAGGAAACATAGCCTATCCACACAAATACCTCTAGGAGCATTTTGAGAGTAGTCTGGTTGCAGGAATCACATAAAACTAAAGTTATATTTGTAATAAAAAAGGGGCACCACATAAGCAAAAAGAGAAAAAAAACAATCCCTAGAACCTTGGAGGCTCTCTGCTCATTGGAAATGGTCTGCACGGACTTTTTTCCAACTGTGGACATTCTTCGCCTAAGTATGTTATCACTTGAGTTGGGCAGAGTTTTGTCCTTGTTGGAACCATCCAGCATTGCCACCTTTTCAGGTGATGAGCAAGGTGTTTCATCCCTTTGGAAAACTGTAGACACAGCCAGCCACGTTAGGCGTTGAGGTGGCTTGGTTTTGACCAAGTAAGCTTTCTTCTGTAAAGCATGGATAGTGAGAAAGTAGGTGACAATCATGATTGCCAGAGGTGTGAAGAAAGCAGCCAGTGAGCCAAAGAGCATGAAGTTGCCGAAACGATCCTTTGTCAGCACACAGGTGATGTTGCTTGGGTTACTCACATCAGTTTCTATCCCTCTAATAGGTACTGGAATGGCAATGCCTAAGGAAACAAGATAAGTTGAGTTAATTTTATGACCTTTGACTCTTAGATTAGGTCCTTTTAGAGTTTATCTTAGTGACTTTATGTGGTTAGTGGTTCGTGTATTGTCATTCCTAGTACACACAGTGCAGAATCTGTCAAAGCATGTAATTAAGGGTAGATTTAACAAATAGAACCCAAGTAAGCAAACCTGATGTTTTTAAACAGATAGATTAGTGATTTCAAGTTTATAATTTAAGCTTTCCTAAAGCTGTAGTATATCCACGAAATAGGAGAGAATGTCTTCATTTATTCTCCATTTCTCATAATCTGTGTTTGTTGATCTATCCCAGGTTAAGGAAAAGGAGTTCAGAAGAGAATTTGCTTTAACTTTATATGCAATGTAGTTGATTTTTTTTTTTTTTAAAGATTTTTATTTATTTATTTGAGACAGAGAGAATGAGAGAGACAGAGAGCACACGAGAGGTGGGAGGGTCAGAGGGAGAAGCAGGCTCCCTGCCAAGCAGGGAGCCCGATGCGGGACTCGATCCGGGGACTCCAGGATCATGACCTGAGCCGAAGGCAGTCGCTTAACCAACTGAGCCACCCAGGCGCCCGCAATGTAGTTGATTTAAAGCGACTTTAGAGTACTTTCATGCAGTATCTTAATTCTAGATAGATACCTATTATCTTTGAGGCTACACAGTTTCATTTAACAGACATTTTCATTTTTTGAAATTTATGAATGTCTTAATCTTTTCCTCTGACAACTAAGGGAAAGCTAAGGGGAATTCATTGTTTTTAAAAAATGCTACTTAAATATTTGAGGTCATATGATTCATGAAATTTATTTTCAAGTTGAGAGTTCCTCTAACAGATGTGAAAGAAATGGATCTCATGCTAATTTTCTAATATTTTATTTATTTATTTATTTTTTTAATTTATTTATTTGAGAGACAGAATGAGAGAGAGAGAGCATGAGAGGGGGGAGGGTCAGAGGGAGAAGCAGACTCCCCGCCGAGCAGGGAGCCCGATGCGGGCGGGACTCGATCCCGGGACTCCAAGATCATGACCTGAGCCGAAGGCAGTCGCTTAACCAACTGAGCCACCCAGGCGCCCAATTTTCTAATATTTTAAATACCATGAAGTGGGTATTTAAATATGATCTTGCCTCATGAAGTAGCTTATTAGAAAGACAAGTACACAAGTGTTATCCTGAATCCTTTCCCTTTGAAATAGCAGATTCTTAAAAAGAAGTTTGAGTTAACTGATCTTTAGAAACCTCTAGAATCCTTGTGTTTTTAATGAATCTGAAAGTACTTCATCATGTACACCATGTACACAGCCTTTTTATGGTAACTGAAGAGCCCTTGACAAAAATATTTTCCTCAAATCCTTTCTAACAGGGAGGCTACTGCTTTTTCTACTTTTCCTCAACTACACCACCAGAAAGTGGATTCTGTATACTTACTATTCTACACTAGGGTGTGCTGACACCACAGCTTGAGGGCCGAATCTGGCCTGCATTCTGTTTTTGTAAATAAAATTTTATTGGAACACAGCCATCCCCTTTTGTTAACAGATTGTCTATGACTGCTTTTACTTTCCTGCTGCAGAGATGAGTAGTTGTGACAGAAACCATTAGAGCCTGCAAGCCCAAAATATTTACTATCTTGCCCTTTACAGGAAAAGTTGGCTGACCCCTGCTGTACCTTGTTATTTCTAAGTGATTGTTCCACTCTTCTTTCTCCCCAAAACCCTTCCCTTTTGAAGTCTATTTATAATCTGCTTACAGCACTCTGTTCTCCATGCAGGTCATCTACCAACCTCTAGGACATCTGTCCATCTTCCTCAGTAGATTGAGCACCTTGCTAAAGCCTTCCTTTCCACTGCTCCATTGCTCTTACCCTCCATGACTTGATCTCATTGATGGCCCTTCTGACACCTTCATTTTGTATCTGTTGAACTCCACTCTCATTTCTTCTATTATTTTTAAAATTTTATTTCAATTCCAGTGTAGTTAACATACAGCGCTATATTAGTTTCAAGTGTATCAACCCTCATTATTCTTATTTACACTCCTGAAGGCATCCATAAACCCTCTTAAAGCTGTCCCGTATCTAAAACCATGAACTTTGTGTGATATTTCCCTTTCTTGTCCTGCTACTCTTCATTACTGTGGGACTTCTTTTTACAGTTATCTTGACCTCTAGTCCATTTGTCCTCTATTTTCACATTCCATTAACCTCTTTCAAGGCTCACATTACCTTCTCAACCAGCTTGGTGGTCAGTAACATAAGTTTTCACTAGTGCTTTTTATACCCTTATCCCCTTATTCTTTCATACCTTACTATTTGCCAGGTCTTACCTAGGATAACTAAGTCCAGAAGAAAGTGAGCTCTTTTCAGCATTTTGCAGAAATTAAAAACTGAACTAACCCTATCATCTGCTTTTTCTTCTACAAAGTTACTAAATTTTCACTGGTCCTACAAAACAAAGTGTGATGAAATGAACACAGCATTGATCTTGGCCTTGGTGCTGAAAAGCTGTTAACAGTCTTTAAGCCAACTATTTTTTTTTTTATTATTTTTTTTTAAAGATTTTATTTATTTATTTGAGACAGAGAGAATGAGAGAGAGAGAGAGCACATGAGAGGGGGGAGGGTCAGAGGGAGAAGCAGGCTCCTTGCTGAGCAGGGAGCCTGATGCGGGACTCGATCCAGGGACTCCAGGATCATGACCTGAGCCGAAGGCAGTCGCTTAACCAACTGAGCCACCCAGGCGCCCCTACCTCCAAACTTTTCAAAAGAGGTTGTCCCTGGTATTATTTCAGGAACATAAAGGTCACTTTCATTATCTTGCTTTCTTGCTTTTTTGCCCAGTTTTTCTTATTCTGATTGGAGAGAGACCATGTCTTTTTCTTGTTTTCCTTTTAGCATTCCAGGTCTCTCCTGATTGTTTTCCTCTTTGATTTTTTCTTTTTGCTAGGAAGAAGTGAATCTGCTAGTCAGACTACTGATGATCATAGTAATTGTTGTGAATCTGTTTTTCTGAATTAACTTACAAGAAGTCTGAATTATTTATGCTGTACTTCATGCTAGGATACTCTTATAGAAGCTATCTTTGAGTATTAAAGATGGGCACAAGGGCATAAGGCAATTTAGAAGAAATAATATTTTCTTCTGTAAATCATTTCTGAATATCACTAGCGTCTCTCTTAAAACCTCTGATTAAACATATATCCAAAACATTTATGTAGACACTTACTGCCTTTATTCTATACACATACTGTCTTCCAAGATGAATTTATGGTCTTTAATACCCGCATACAGAGTGTTTGGGTTTTTTTCTTTTTTCTCTTTTCCTGTTTATCTTCTTGAGTATGACTGAAGATGCATTTTATTTTTTTTGTTACTTTAATATTAATTTCGAGATTCTGCATGCTGCCTAGACCTTAATGATCTGTTGACAAAAACAAAAACTGTTTTCAGACTTAGTCTTCCTGCACGTCAAAATCAAAGCAGGAAGATATCTCAGTAAACATTGTGAAGATGGTTCTTTCTGAGGACATGAACTTTTTGCTTTTTCAGACGTGTTGTTGATAGTGTGGTTTTATATGATGACACGACAAAGAGCTTGTGTTGGTATATCAGTACTATATCAGTAGTCTGCCTTGGGCTCTCTTGCTAAGTTTCACAGCCTACCAGGCCTGATATATTTCTTACCCAAAAGAAACCAAAAGCTACTTATTTATACCACCCCAAACCCTGACATTCCCCACGTACCTATTGAAATTAACCATACCACTGTAATCTTGATGAATGCTGTGGCTCGTGAGTTATATTGATTGGCCTGGATTGGCTTTTTGATGGCTATATAGCGATCCACGGAAATGGCACAGAGATGCATGATGGATGCAGTAGAAAAAAGAACGTCAAGAAATAACCAGGCAGGACATAGAACAAGTGGGAGGGGCCACATAGCCTCTGAAAAGCAAAACAAAAACATATTCTCTTACAAAATGGCAATATTCAATTTGCAGTTCTTTTGTTTTTTAAAGATTTTATTTATTTATTTGATATAGAGTGAGAGAGACAGCAAGAGAGGGAACACAAGCAGGGGGAGTGGGAGAGGGAGAAGCAGGCTTCCCGCGGAGCAGGGAGCCCGATGTGGGGCTCGATCGCAGGACCCTGGGATCATGACCTGAGCTGAAGGCAGGCGCCTAACAACTGAGCCACCCAGGTACCCTAATTTGCAGTTTCTTTTTTTTTTTTTTTTAAGATTTTATTTATTTATTTATTTGAGAGAGAGAATGAGATAGAGAGCATGAGATGGGGGAGGGTCAGAGGGAGAAGCAGACTCCCCGCCGAGCAGGGAGCCCGATGCGGGACTCTATCCAGGGACTCCAGGATCATGACCTGAGCCGAAGGCAGTCGCTTAACCCAACTGAGCCACCCAGGTGCCCTGCAGTTTCTTTTTAAAGTGATACATATTTTTTAACTTTTTGCTATTCATCTGAAATGTTATGAGTTAACCTCCACAAGATGTCTAACTTAAGATAATGGAGTCAATAATATTAAATATATTTCTGTAAATGGTACCTTTTAAATACATTATCTATTTTGTATAAATCACAACACCCTTCTTGAAAATCAGCAGCTTAGCATTTTTAGCATTCATTTGACCGCATTTGCTCTTTTGTCTGTTCCTTTTGTGATCTTTTAAGAATTTCCACAGTGTTGCAAGTAGAACTTAACCTTGCTAGTCAAATAAAATTAATTTTTAAGCTGCTTTTGTATACAGAGAATATATTTTACCATATAGAGGAAGCAATATAATGTGGCAAAAAGAGTATTAGAATGGGAGTCTCAGTGAAGCCTAGGCTTTGGTTAATTTCTAGCAATAACTAGCAGCATGATCTTTGTTTATAGCAAACTCTCATTTGGTGAAATAATTAAGTGAAATGAGTTGCATTTTCTTTTTGACAGAAGTAGTTCTTATTAAATAAAGTTTGCAGAAGGAATGATTTCAGATTATTCTGAAGAAAAATGGATTGTTATCCTTCCATATTCCATCATCAATTCAGCCAGTGGGACTTAATATTTTAAAAAGAAACTGTCAAGGTTAAACATAGTACTTAATTTTTGTAACAAACTCTTATAAAAAGCATTTATGCTATACCTCATACAGTCTTAAGCACTTGAGAAATATGGACTTTGAAAGATTTCAGTTTTTGGATATGATACTGAATATCCTACATAGCTTTCCAATAAATTTACTTAGACAAGTATCTATACACATATGGGTTGGTACATTATATAGTATACATACACCCAGTATATATATATTTGCAGTTCCAAAACACCTAAAATTTATTTTAGGGTTTGCCCTAGAATATTTCAGTTAGAATCCACTTTTCTTTTTATTTTATTTTATTTTATTTATTTGAGAGAAAGAATGAGAGAGAGTGCATGAGAGGGGAGAGGGTCAGAGCGAGAAGCAGACTCTCCACTGAGCAGGGGGCCGAACGGCACTCAATCCCGGGACTCCAGGATCATGACCTGAGCCGAAGGCAGTCGCTTAACCAACCAAGCCACCCAGGCACCCAGAATCCACTTTTCTAACACACACACACACAGACTTTAGACCTTGCTATAAAAGCAGATTACTTCTTTGTAGAACAAATGTCATATATATGAGATTATCTAAATCCTTTTTACAGTTTAATTGTTGTATGTCCGCTGACAAAATATAAACTACTTTTCCTAGTTTTTGCATGATTATCTGACTTTGACAGATAATTGGGATAATTGAAGGAAGACCAAGATACCATTTTAGGATTTCAGAGCACCAAGAAACTCTTCAGTTGTGAACCGTTTAAATTCAAGAAGCCTGGGGGTAGAGAGAGGTTAGCATCCCACACCAAAAAAAAATAAAAAACTGTCATTTAGGGAAAGAGCTTTGAGATAGACTTGAATATGTTTTTTTCAAAAGTGTACAAATTAATGTTTGAGGAGCAGTGTTTTAGAAGACTGGGAAACATTGTGTCTTGGGTCTTAAAAGATGCACCTACATTTGTTCGCTGGTGTAGGATAGGCACTCAGAATGCCTCATAGGAAGGAATTTATGGGAGACCTCTCAAAATAAACAAATCAAGCATGGCAGAGAAATCTGTCTTGAGAGAGAACCTAATCAGTTAGATTTTTCTCCCTCTTAGTCATAGTTTTCAGATTCTCTGTTAATAAGTAGAAAAGGACTTTGGACAGTGAAAGGCAGCAATGGACCTCAGCTAAGTAAACTAACAGTTCAAGCAGAGTGAAAATAATCACATGTGATTGAGAGTTTTGCAGTGGAAACTACTTGAAATGATGCTACATTCTGATTTGTCTTGATGTTCTACATTTAGGACTGAGTAGAAGATAGAAAAATACTCAAATCTAGAACTACAACAGGAGATACTGATCATGGTTTTAAACTTGCCTATTTAGCTTTTCTAATTATGGGTTGTATGTTTTTAAATTAAGATCTGGAAAATTCTAGTCATAAATCTAGTAGTCATGAGCAGGAAGCCACAATAGGACTCTCATGTAAAAAGTACAGGTCTTTGGAAAACAGACAATTTGACTCACATATTCCTAATTGTGGGCTAAAAGAGAAAGCTCTTTAGTGCTCCTGTGAAGTCTTGTTAGGCTCACTTTCCAACAGAATGAATTTATTTTATAAACTCCAATTTTGGGGGGGTGCATGGGTGGCTTAGTCGGTTAAGTGTCTGCCTACGGCTCAGGTCATGATCCTGGGATCCTGGGATCGAGCCCTGCGTTGGGCTCCCTGCTCAGCGGGGAGCCTCCTTCTCCCTCTCCCCACCCCCCACCCCCGCTCGTGCTCTCTCTCGCTACTTCTCTCTCTCTCAAATAACTAAAATCTTAAAAAAATTAAAATAAACTCCAATTTCGGTACACAAAGCGGATATTAAAATTAATGCAGATTGCTAGAATTTTATTATTTCAGTAAGTACTTAATTGCTAACGTTAGAAATACTGAGGCATGATAGAGAATTTTCTTTAAGGAGACTATGATATGAGATTTAGGATTAAGAGAGATGGATCTTTATTATTAACCTTTATAATTGAAAGTTTCATGAAGGTATAGTCAATAGGCTTTTTATGAAATGAACATGAAAGTAACATGACTGCATTAAATTAATAGAAATCTCTTATATAAAGCAAAAAGAAAAAGAGTCTTGTCTGTCTAAATAGATTCAGGTAATCTAAGAATTTATACAAATTAAAAACAGTTCTAGACATTCTCAGGTTATAAAGGGACTTTCCCTAGTCCAGATACTTTCATTTCTAAAATTGTCTTTTCAGTTAGTATTAATATGATAGGCTTAAGGTCAGAAAATTTCTTAATATTTAGAATAACTAAAAAAGGTTAAATTAGTTTGGTGTGGGGTAGATTAACTATTCCAAAACTTTATATGTTATTTTTATTAGGAGTTTTAATTCATTTTAAGGATTTATAATTTAATTTGTTATAATGTATTATGTCCAGCTTATTTCCATAAGAACTTACTATACTATTTCAAATGGAGCAGTTATAGATTTATATAAAAAGAAAAGTATATGAGTCAATATAAAGGAAATAAGTTATCGGGTACTTGAACTAAATTAATTACTGCTATTCTGGGGCTCTAAATTTGTCTTTTTCATAAAAGCTAAGACAGAAGAAGGAAAATTTTTAAATTATATACTATTTGTTATCTCACAAAAAGTGCACAAAACTTCTTTGAAAAACCTACCTCTTCCCCCACCTGCTCCCAAATTAATCTTAAAGAGAAATTTAATTTCAATAAGGTTTGAATAATATTACTTCTGTGGATACCTGAAATAATTACAGATTGGTAATTATAGGAGCAAAACAAATCTTGTGAGTTGTGGATTATAGATAGTTCATTATTTATCTAAAAATATTAATAGCACAAATATTTTGTTGCTTAAAATGAAGACTTGCATGCTTCAAATACCACCATACATAAGGGGTGGTAGAATTGCCATTCAGTTACATCAGTTTCTGTTTGTCTCCAGACAAGGGTCAACAACTTCATAGACGTGGGCCTGCCTAGGTCTAATATCTTGCTCAGAAAAGAGATCTGGCGATCATCTCAAAGATTTGTACAAGTATTTTTTAAGACCCAGATATTCTGTATCATTTAATATGAAATATAACTTTTAAAAAATATTGGGTTCTGCCTTGTCCCTAGAGAAAACTCTATGGCTGTCTTGTTACATAGAGTTATTTAAGATGTAATTGTTGGCTGTTTGTCAAATATGACCGTTTTGGTTGACATAATTTCTCATTTCATATGAGAAAGCAGTGTAAAAGAGTAAGTTAAGACTGAATTCTGGAGTCCGTTCTCTGGGGTTCAAATCATGTCTCTGCCATTTATTTATTCCTCTGTCCTCTCTTGTAAAATGGGGATAATGATGATGATACCAGTTTTATAGGATTGCTTTGAAGATTAAATGCAGTAATACACGTAAAGTGTTTAGAACAATGTCTGGCATAGAGAAAGCACTCAATAAATGTTAGTTCTTATTACTATTACTGTTTGACAGAAACTAGCCAACTAGCCTACCCATTAAAACACTCCTACTTAGAAATGTTAAGTCATATCATCACTGTAAAATCAGTATGTTTGTCCTCTTGCCTGCTGTAGCAAGAGTGCATGTATCCAGTTGAACTTAAAGCTTTTTTTTAAAAGGCATGAGAATGTGTTAAAATTTGTCATGAAAGTATGTATGCCTTTTACTCTCTCTCTATATTTATAGGTGTATATATATATATATATAGCAAACATAAATAACCTGTATGCATTGCCATGCTGCTATTTATTTATTTTGTTTTCTTTTTAACCGGTATAAAAACCTGAGTTTTTAAACCAGAAACTCCATTTCTTGGTGAGATGGACTCATTTGATCTGAAACCTGCTTACTGTTTCGGAAAGTTTTTAGTTTGGAAAGCTGAGTTATATGATTAATTCAGAAAAATAATTAAAATAAATCTATAAATCTGAGATATAAGATATTTGCCTTTTGAGGATTTTAAATGTCTGTATTTTGAAAGCTATCCCTAGAGGACTGTGCCTGTAGAGTTTACCAAGGTAAATAGTTCATGAGTATATTGGAGTAGGACAGATCTCAATAGCCTAATATCCAAAAAGGACATGATTCTCAAAGTACCCATTTTTTATTCTCAGAAAATGTTTCTATCTTTATCTTTTAGAAAAGAAAGACATAGACCAGTGCTTCAATTTTTATTATGAAGCTTCTGTTTTGTTTTTGTTGTCATTTTCCCACTACATTTTGAACATATAAAATATTCTGGGATTAGATGTCTAATATGATAGTGTTTTAAATGTTCCAAGTGATTTAATACTTACAAAATTTTTTTCTGGGTTTTTTAAATTTCCGCTTTCCAAAAAGAAATGACTTTAATTGCTTTTCTCCCTCATTTAAGAATTGGGTAGAGCAGCATTTCACTGCATAAATAACTGATTTTCTTTTTCTTTTACTGCTGTATATCTGTTTCATCTCTGGTCAGACTCCCATCTAAACTAAATCACATATTTAAGTATATAAACTCTTCTCATACTCTGCTAATACTTGCCAGTTATTGGTGCTTGTAATGTGCTGGGCCTTAGTTGACCATTTCACAAGATACCTGCAATGTAAGATTTAGCATATCCATTTTATATTTTACAGACTAGGTGATTAAACTGATGTGTTAAGTGACTTGCCTAAACCAACACAGGAGAACCAGGATTCAATGCCTTGGGTGTCTTGCTTCAGATACCTATCTTTCAGCCATTTTATTTTATACACCCTCTTCCAGCTGTACCACAGATACTGTTTCAACTTTAATTGTGAGACAATTATTAAGTTATAAATAAAACAATAATGACCAATGAATGACCAAATACTGTATTTTCTCCTTTACATTTTTAATCACTTATTTAATGAGAAAAAGTTCAGAGAAGTTCTTAAAATGTGAACATCCTGTCTTTTTTATATTGGCATATGATGTTCTATTTTCCTTTGCATCTACTCAAGTATTTCTAAATGCCTTCTTAGTAGGCATTTTCAAGCCTTATGTTATAAGCTACTAACTTACGATTGTGGATTTTGGGAATTACACACAAGACAGTCAAAACTAGACCCACAAAGCAAAGGTTAAGTCTAGTGCTCCCAGAGTGGAAGAAGTGGCAGAAAAATTGACATAGGTATCACAGTTCATTTGAGAGACATGTTAGGCCAGTCAACATAATCTTGATAAAATGGAAATTCTGTTTTAAAAAAAGCAAACAATATTATATAAATCATTGGTTGAATAACATACTCCTCAGCATAAGTCAGTTTTAAAGTTTCACTGCTCTCCTTTTTTTTAAACTTAATTTTATTAGAACATTAACTAATATAGTTTCTTTTGTTACTTTCATTAAATTTCCCTGAGACACTCATACCACTCAGTGGTAGTTAATTTTTTATGTTTACAGAATCAGGGACACTTGTTTGTACAGACTTCCAAAGTTTAGAAGATTATTCCTATAATGAGAGAAAAATACACAAAATCTACTCCTGCCTTTAAGGTTATCAGAAATTCTTATAAATGCATTAATTTAGAAAGTCTTTGTATTTGTTAACATGTGAAGGGCTATAAAAATCTTAGGATTTGAAGTCAGGTCCCAATTTGTAATATGTGCAGTTTCCAATTTATGAATGCATCTTTTTGAAGCTTTTTGGAAGGCAGAGCGTGCATTTTCTCATACACTTTCTCATAGAAATAGAATAATGGGTTTTTTTGGTTTTTTTGGTTGTTTTTTTTTTAAGATTTTATTTATTTGACAGAGAGAGACGCAGCGAGAGAGGGAACACAAGCAGGGGGAGCAGGAGAGGGAGAAGCAGGCTTCCCACCGAGCAGGGAGCCCGATGCGGGGCTCGATCCCAGGACCCTGGGATCATGACCTGAGCCGAAGGCAGACGCTCAACGTCTGAGCCACCCAGGCGCCCCTAGAATAATGTTTTTAGTAATGAATTTAAAGCCATAATTTTTAAATAGTCTTTAAATTCCCAGGTTAGTTTAGTTTTTAAAAATCTAACCCCGCTATAGAGCTTAGTTACTGATAGTAAAAGTGTTTGGGACTATGAAAGATTTTATTTTATAATTAAAAATTAACAAGCATTTGAAAAAATGAAATGTAGTTAAAATATACATCATAATTATTTAGGACATAAATAGGAAGACATTCCATATATTTTATGTTAAAATATGTTGGGTTTTCTGCTAACATTTATTGCCAAGAATATCTTGGGCCCCAAAAATTTAAATATAAGCTTGGTTGTCAGCTGCAGATACTACTAGTTTCCTGTGAACTACATGGAATTATCTCTCTTATCTGTTTTGGTGTTTTATCAGGTCGCTTTAATACTGTGGAACTTAGCTTTTAAAGATTCTATAACTATTTAGCTGATAATTTGAGTATCTACCACAGTAATTTGCATATAGTAGATGTTTGATATGGACTCGGTTCTGTGTAACTCATTCAGTCTCATTTATTCAAAATAATATATCAATTAAATTTTATGGTAGTGTAAGATGAACATTGTAACATTTTCTGTATGTCTAGCAAAAGCATAATTTAAAGAGTGATTTTACAGTTAAATTACTACTGTGTGTGTGGAGATAAGAGCCTTGAATCAAATATCTGTAGTCTTTACCAAATATACATAAATTTTTTTTTTTAAAGATTTTATTTATTTATTTATTTATTTATTTATTAGAGAGCGAGCGAGACAGAAACAGCATGAGAGAGGAGAGGGTCAGAGGGAGAAGCAGGCTCCCCGCTGAGCCGGGAGCCCGATGTGGGACTCGATCCCAGGACCCTGGAATCATGACCTGAGCCTTCCAACTGAGCCACCCAGGCGCCCTATACATAAATGTTTCTACATAATCCTCATTTACTTGATTTATTTATTTTTTTTTATTTTTTATTTTTTTTAAAGATTTTATTTATTTGACAGAGAGAGAGATAGCGAGAGCAGGAACACAAGCAGGGGGAGTAGGAGAGGGAGAAGCAGGCTTCCTCCCAAGCAGAGAGCCCGATGCGGGACTTGATCCCAGGACCCTGGGATCATGACCTGAGCCGAAGGCAGACACTTAACAACTGAGCCACCCAGGCGCCCCTACTTGATTTCTTTTAAACTTTATTTGGAATTAAGATCCTTTAGGTTCTCCTTTAGAGTAAGATTCCTTAATTACTTTCCACGGTTACATGTTGTACTAAAATATTCAAAAGATTACCAATTTATAAAAGAAGGGGATAGATAGATATTATTAATGATTAGAGAGTCCATTAAAGCAGTAGAACCTTATTACTGCTTACCCTGCTATAGAATTTAAAGCCTCAGTTAGATATTAATTTAGAATGGAAAGTTTCAGCCTGTCACCATCTGATATTTGGGGGATCAAATACTTAATATTAGATATGTTTTTATAATTACTTAAAAATGTAACATTTAAACCTAAATGTAATAGTTTAAATTGGAGTTTTTATCCCCCTTCTCATACATATTCTAGTTAAATAAACTTTACTTCTATAACCCAAAATATTTTTATCCTCACCATATAAACATAATATCAAGAAGCCCTATCTGCTGCAAATAATCATTTTTCTTAAGCAGTTAATGAGTGGAATATGAATTTATGCCAAGCACTGAATAAGGTAAGTATCCTCTTAATGCTGATTCTTAGAAGCCCTAATAACTTATCAGCAGAATTATTTGTATTTACCCAAATTCTATAACTAGAGGTGATACACACAGATGAAAACTATTTCATTTTAATATTATCTTTTTTAGTATAACAAACTAATATTTTAATATCAAGCTACATTATTATTATAATAACTCAGGTTTTGGTCACCTGTTTTAATAGTTTATTTTTAATAAATTTTTAATATTTTATTTTAAGTCAGATTTTTCTTACATGTATCAAGGACATGGATGGTTAGAAATCATAAAAATTAAACAGATGAATCATTTCTTAGGACACTGTGAGCCAGACCATTTCCTTTAGCAACTAACTAAACATAGCATTTTCTTAACATGACACGTGTAAGAATTATGTTTAAGGCTAAAGTACACAAACGATAAAGAAATATAACAAGAATTTCTAGAACAGTTCCAATTTTAAATTGGTGTTTAATGATTCAAATTGGAATTGAGTGATTCGAAGATTTTATCATTAATAAATAACCCAGCACATAACTGTCACAGAAGTATCCTAGCTGTTGCTTTGTCGAGGGAAAAAAGTGTTTATAATGGGAAAGTTAAAGTATAGGTCTGTTCTTCACTATAATTTTTAGGTGATGAATGCAGAATCTATGAATATTGCTAACTTGGATGACTTTTATTAGATGGCTGGGGAAGGAGTAGAATTGTTTCTTGGATGACTTTTATTAGATGGCTGGGGAAGGAGTAGAATTGTTTCTAAGAAATTATTTTTTGCTCTTTAAGACTTTATCAACCATAGAAAATGATGGAAATGAGGGACTGTTTACTCACTGTATCTTTAAATGGTCCAAGTCCATCTTTAAAGACTGAATATCCATTTCTCTGATAGTATATCATAGTTCTGTGGTTTGATGCCAGGAACAAAGTGAAATACTTACCAAACATTATTGTCAAGAGGGCAATCGGCATCACAAACAACCCAACCAGCAAATCAGCCACTGCCAGAGACATTAGAAAATAATTGGTAGCATACTGCAGCTTTTTCTCCAGTGAAACAGCCAGAATAACCAGGACGTTCCCACCAATTGTGGGTATTATCACCATGAATATCAGAAGAGCTGCCCAGCGCGGTTTATTTCCCTGTTGCTCACCAATCTGTTTCATTTCCTCTGGTATCGATTCTGTCTGTAATCCCGACCAGTTAGCAGAGATTAAGTGATGAAAGGAGCTCTGCAAAATGTGTTCAGGAATTGTGCTCTGTTCTGATATTTTATAAGAGAAGGCCATTCGCTGTTTTTGTGTAATGTGATCCAATTCTGAACAATGGTCAGCATGGTCAGTAGCTAAGCTGGTCATCTGCTTTTTAAAGGCATTGTACCCAGGCCAAACACTCAAAGCCAAAGTTGACTCCTTCCTTTAAAAACATTTTTCGGGTTCTCGAAAATGAGAGTGTACAAGCTTCTGTCCATTTCTGAAGGTAAGGCCCAAGGGTTTAGTCTTCTGCAGAGGCTCAGGTTTCGGAAGGCTTAGTGAAAGAAACTGATAGCTGTGAAAAAAAGACTGTTCATTAGTTTCTCTCTCCTTTCTCTCTCTCTGCTGTAGCATTAGACTCGTGTTTGAATTTGAATGCCAATGAATTCCAAGAGTTCCTCCTAGATATAAAATAAGTAGATTGCATGATTTTGTTATTTTCAAAAAACAGAAAAAACTCTTAAACTTTGTAGCCCTTCCTATCTTAATAGGTCTCTTATGCATTTGTGACAATGCAGCCTATTTCCACAATCATGTTCCTTATATGCCTCAGGTTACGAAACAGGAGATACATTAATTTTTTCAGTGGTTATTTAAAAAAAGAGGCCAGATGTTTCCTGACCCTTGAATGTCTTTTTACCTTTACTTAGAATATGTACAGAAGAATAGAAACATCAAAGCACTAAGTAGTTCTGAATAGAACTTTCTGGTACACACTGGTTACCCACCTACAAATTCTTCAGGCCCACCTAAGGTCCAAATAAATGATTTACCAGCTAGGAATCCTTATTTGTAATTGGGTTTTATCTGATCAGGTTTATCTTAATACTGATATAATTGCCATTTTTATGCAACATTTTAAAACTCCTTTAGTTTGAGAGAAGGAAAAAATAGGTATTAGTAGGATCCAAATAATTGTTTTTAATAATGTCATCTTTCACAGAAAGCCTATTACTGCCAGAAATATTTTCCAAATTTATCATTTTATGCCAAATTTGAAACAGTTCTCTTTTTAAGTAGTCATTTTTTTCCTTAACCTCCCCATTTTCCTCGGGAAGGAGGATAAGCTAAGAGGAAGGTAAACCATTTATTCATAAAATCTGTAAATCCTGGGGCGCCTGGGTGGCTCAGATAGTTAAGCGTCTGCCTTCGGCTCAGGTCGAAGGGATTGAGCCCTGAGTCAGGGCCCCCTGCTCAGCAGGGAGCCTGCTTCTCCCTCTCCTCCCCACTTGTGCGCTCTGTCTCTCTCCCTCTCAAATAAATAAAATCTGTAAATCCTTTATTAAATACCTCTCTTGTAATGGTAAAATTTTCATTTTGGTTTTTAAGCCACTGAATAGAAATGAAAGATATGGTAGCAGTTTTTTTGAAGAAAGGAAAAAAATCTTTAGATTAATTCTATATTTATTTGTAAAATACTTACCTTTTCTTGTTAATCTCCCAAGCATGTCATCTGATCTGCTCAGTAGACCTGCTTGCTGCCTCCGGCACTGGTGCTTGAAAGCAATGAAACAAATGTGTTGTATGGCTGCAAGCATGCCAAGGAGGTATTTCCTCTTTGATACATTCGTTTTTAGAAAGTAGCAGCATTCATTATAATTCATAAAACTACCAGTTGAATATGTTGAACCAGTTCATGACCCTATTCATGTTGTATTCTGAAGAGCTCTCTTTGATATTGGAGGGACTGAAATAAACTGTCATTTTATCTTAAGATAGTTTTGTTTTGGATTACAACTGAGCTGTTTTTACCATTTGAAAAAAAATAAGATCTAGTCTAGAGATTCTAGAGCTTTCATTCTGTGAAGAGTGTGCCCTGTGAGCCTTACAGTGATTTCCAGAGTTCTAATTTCAGAACAAGATTCTTACTCAGCTTTTATGTGTTTGCTGTGGAACACAATTAATTCTCTCTGGTTGCAACCTTATATAGAAGAGCACAGAAAGGTCTGAATTCTATGTGTATGCATAGGTTTTAGCAGAAACTTTCATTGCTCGTTTTTAAACAGATGGCTTTGGGGGGATTGGTTCATTGGCAGTTTTTTTTTTTTTCCACAGATATATTGGAGAAAGTATACAGTATGTAATGAAAGTATATTTCTGGGGCGCCTGGGTGGCTCAGTTGGTTAAGCGACTGCCTTCAGCTCAGGTCATGATCCTGGAGTCCCAGGATCGAGTCCCGCATCGGGCTCCCTGCTCTGCAGGGAGTCTGCTTCTCCCTCTGACCCTCCCCCCTCTCGTGCTCTCTCTCTCATTCTCTCTCTCAAATAAATAAATAAAATCTTTAAAAATATATATATATATATTTCTGCCTTATTTCAGAAAATTGGTGTAAAAAATTTAACAGCTATGCTATCTAAGTTTTTTCTAGACTGTAAGACTAGCTTAGCATTAGAACTTCAGCATTCTCAGTTTCCTTTTTAAAAGATCATCATAGATCACCCATTTTTAAAGTATTTAATTCTAGGTCAGCAATAACATTTGTGCCCTTTTTCTGTTTCAAATTTATATTCCTTAGCTTATGTGAAAGTTATTGGAAAATACTTGGTTCATTTCAGTTCTGTTGAGCACTTCAGATATCATTCAGTATTTGCTTTTTTTTTTAACTCAAAATTCAGTATTTTAGAAAAAATATTTGCTGTAAATTTTGGGTGAAAACATATAATACTCAAGAGCAATCAAGTGGATTTTAATGTGCCAGGATTCTCTTCAGGAATATAGAAATATTCTGAAATACTGCTTTGTTGTGAATCACAATTTAGCACCTGTACTTATGCAGGTAGATAGGAGTCTGCAAAACAAATAATGTCAGATTGAAAGTAGTACCAGTATATTCAATGAATATATGGATTTGTGTTTATAGATTTAAAAAAAATTTAAATATTCAGGGAATATATTTTAAAAATGCCAACCATTATTACTGTTATAAACTTTGCCAATACTAACCCTCTCTGCCACATTCACTTTTTTTTTTTTAAGATTTTATTTATTTGAGAGAGAGAGAGCGAGCATGAGAAGGGGGAGGGGCAGAGGGAGAGTGAGAAGCAGGCTCCCGCTAACAAGGAGCCCGATGCGGGGCTCAATCCCAGGACCCCAAGTTCATGACCTGAGCTGCAGGCAGACGCTTAACCGACTGAGCCATGCAGGCGCCCCTCACTTACTTTTTTTTGTAGTTAAAACTAGTGGTTGGATTATTTTTGTTTTTCTATGTTTAAATTAGTTTAATGGTTAAGGAACACAACTAGTTAAAACTACTTATTTGGCAACTTTGTGCTATGGCTGGGTGGTGGACATTGGGGAGGGTATGTGCTATAGTGAGCGCTGTGTATTGTGTAAGACTGATGAATCACAGACATGTACCCCTGAAACAAATAATACATTATATGTTAATAATTTTTAAAAAATTAAAAAAGCATAGCTGAGAATCAGAAAGAAAGCAAAATAATAAGAAATATGTGAAAGAGTAGACAAGTCTTTCAGTTGCAAATAACTAAACTATGCTCTAAAAACCTCATGCACGTTAGATGGAAGGCAGCCTGTAAGTCCCCACTCCAAATCTCTTTACACTCACTCACAGAAACATGTCTTTCTCCCCTCTTTAATAAAAATACCATTTGCACATGGCGGTAAATCTAAATAGTACAAAAGAATGTTTAGTGATAAATTCACTTTGAGACGGTTTTAACAAACACATTTCCCTGTTTACTCCAGAGCAGATAACAAATTAACAGGTGGACAAACACTTTGATAATAGCAAACAGGGTGCACAGAAGAAACAGGAAGTAAAAAGTATAGACATGTAGGTTTACTCAGAATAGAGGCTTGTAGCTCTCCTATAACCCAGGCCTTCACAATTTTATGTGGTATAATAATTGATACCAGAGTGATGACTTCCACATATTTAAGAAAAGAGTAAATAATTTTTATTTGGCTCTGTTTTGGATGGGAGGAATGCATGAAATGCATTTTTAAAAAGATTGCCATCCAAAATGATAAATATATAAAAATATGATTCTTAATAGTAGAATTAAATTTCAAATATCTGGAAACTTCATTTGTGTGAAATATCTCATTTACCAAGAACTCCAGATAAATTCTTACTAAAGTAGCTTAAAGTTCAGACTCAGACTCTAATCTGACCATAACCAAAAAACTTAATTCATGCATTTTTCCCAAAATAATGAATTTTGTCCCTGATGCCTTTTTAATTTATTAGACAGATTCTATCTTTGACTTAAAAGGGCAGTCTAATTTATAGGCCTAAGAAGACAAATATCAGCCAAGAACACTTTTTGCCTCTCAGTCATAATTATCTATCAAACACTAGCCATTAAGGAATTTTTGGCAATATAGGGATTGTGTCCAGTACATATTCATTTATTTGTGAAGTATTCATTGAGTTCATTTGCTCGTGGCAATATAGTGATGAACAAGATAAACATTTTCTGCCCTTGTGTAATTTATCTCATGGATGGATACAAGCAAGTATATTGATCATTATAATACAGACATGGTAGCTAAAACTAGCTCACTTTAACAGGTCCCACAGCTCAGCTCAAATATTTTTTGACTTTTTTTTTTTTCATTCCTTTCTTACTCATTTTCTTTGACAATATCAGTGAAAGAGCTAAAATTCTAAAAATAGCTCTTCCAAATTTAATCTGTTCTTCTTAGACTCTACTCACTCTCCCCTGATGACTGATTTTACCTCTATTTTAATGAAAGCTTTAGACCAATCTGAAAGTGCTATCACCTTTTATCTTCTCAAAATGTCTTTCTTTTCATCCATCCTACCTTTGGGATCACATTGACATTACTCTTTTCCACAACTTCTATTTAAGTTCTTGATCCCAACTTTTATTATATTTGCAATTTTGCTGAATAAGGTATCTTTTTCACACATAGAATCCATGCCTTGAATATTCAGTTCCTCAGTTCTAACTTCTTTTTTTTTTTTTTTTAAGGTTTTATTTATTTGACAGAGAGAGACACAGCGAGAGAGGGAACACAAGCAGGGGGAGAGGGAGAAGCAGGCTTCCCGCTGAGCAGGGAGCCCGATGTGGGGCTTGATCCCAGGACCCTGGGATTATGACCTGAGCCGAAGGCAGACGCTTAATGACTGAGCCACCTAGGCGCCCCAGTTCTAACTTCTTTCTTGCAGACATGCTCAGGTTTCTAGTTAATGAAAACTAAACCTTTCGTTATCCCTTGAGTCTCTTTCCTTCATTATTAAACTTCTTTAAAGAATTGCCTGTTTCTCTTCTCATAATCCTTATAATCAGATTTTTTCTCCAACATTCTACTAAAACAACTCTTAGAAAGTCCATTTTAACACCAGTTACAGATTGTGTGCAATATTCAGCACTGTTGGCTAAACATTTCTTTTTTTTTTTTAAGATTTTATTTATTTATTTGAGACAGAGAGAATGAGAGACAGAGAGCATGAGAGGGAGGAGGGTCAGAGGGAGAAGCAGACTCCCTGCCGAGCAGGGAGCCCGATGCAGGACTTGATCCCGGGACTCCAGGATCATGACCTGAGCCGAAGGCAGTCGCTCAACCGACTGAGCCACCCAGGCGCCCTAAACATTTCTTTTTAAAGCTCCTATCTTTTCCTGCCTTCAGAGACATCCCATCCTGGTTCTTTGTCTTTCTTAAAGAATCTTTTCTAACTCTTATTCTGCCCGCTTAATATGCAGATACCTCCCAGGTTCCTGTCCTCTATTGACTTCATCTCCCTCTTCATTGTCTTCCTCCATTCACCCA